AATGCACACGTAAAATCATTCTTCATACAGTTTGGTGGACGAAACGGTAAACGACCACTGGGGATTAGTATGACGAGACTGCAAAAGTACAATTTAAGGTCATGAACATAATACTCTACTGCAGTTAACCGCCGTATGTTAAACACACTAGTATATGTAGGAACGTATTCTTATAGGTATACAAAATAGAAGCTGATTAACATGTTACGATCTTCAAACGATCTGCATAATCCAACTTGACGTTCACCAAAATGTGAATTCGGCAAATAAATGTATTACAAATTATAATCGACGTTTAAAATCGTCAAATTTAAATAAAGACGCGAAAACTGTTTTGGATATCGTCGGGGCTCAGTGCAGTGACGGCGACGTCGGCAGAGCTAAAGAAAAAAATCCTCAACTTCGCGTCACTAAACAAACGATAAGTCGCTTGGTATAATAATGTGGATCCGTTGTCGTATTTGTATAATGTGTGGATTTGAATAACTAAAGGAAACCGACTACACCACTCCGTATAATACTTAAGCTTCTTTTTAAACACTGAAAATGCCGAAACGTTTCGTAACACACTTTCCCTCCGCACCGTATCTGTCGGCAAAAATATTAATTTCAATGACGATGATGTCATAGCAAAAACGAGTCTATGAAAAAACATATAAGAGCGTATTCACAGTCGGTACTATGGCGGTACTATCATTACGGTAAAAAATAGTAAATATGATTATCTGCTGAGGATCGAATTGTGAGGAAACGGTATTGACTTATCTCAAAACACTTGGATCTTACGTTTAACGTCTTAAAATGTTTAATAAACATGTTTAATAGACAATATTATTATATTAACGTTTTGCACTATCATATAGATGGATACATCTAAGTCTCAAATATAATGTGATCACATAAAATATGTTAGTTAGCATACGTATACCCAAGTACCTATAAGCAAACAATACAATCCTAAGTTTATAATCACATAAGTCTTAAAGTTCGTTACATCATTAATATTTACGAGAAAAAAATCTAATCGCATGTTAAATTGAATTCACAGCAAGACACAGCTGGTGGTCAGAGTGGCGAATCAAAATAAACCCAGATAAACCTGCATATATTAATATATATTTCCGTTTACGTTAAATAGACCCAACTCTCTGCCCTTACACAATCCCAACCTCTTCGGAAAGCAAACATTACCTTCGTTTAACAACTGACTTGTGGTCCACGGCTTAAATTAAAAATAAAAGTGCTCAACAGCCAATTATATTTACCACGCCCATATATGAAACCAATGCTCACCTATGCTCAAAACTCACTAAGTACAAACCTCTTTTAAGGCTTAAGTGATGAATTTAAATCTAAACTTGAAATGGTTCCTGAGTTGTCAAATGTTATTCTAAAGATGGTAGTCCATAAAAAAGGAAGAGGAATAAAAGATGACTGATTAACAATTCCTACCATCACAATGACACTTAATTTTATTTTATTACGATAACCTAGCTCTAAATAAATCAAACGGAGAGTGTAATAATATAATATATTATACGAGCGATAGTGTTAGCTGTAGACAATCACCTACACTGCTCATAATTATTTTTTAGGTAATAATATTACTATTAATTAATAATTACTATCTAATAAATTCATTCCGCCGCGACTCTCGACGTATTCGCCGGTTTAATTTCACGCCATTTTTACCGGATGATACGCGTAAGCACTACAATAACTACACTACAAGGCTGAGAAATGAATTAAGCCCAACCACACATTTTCCCCGTCGTCCGGATATATTAACCGGAGTGTTAGCACGGGGCGCGGTTAGCGAGTGGTAATCGGTTACCGGTCCGGACGCTCACAAAAGCCACCTCGTCGGGGGAGGGGTGAGCTGGGGTGGCATATGGGGGGTTGTTGGCGTCCGGTGTTCGGCGGGGGCTAAGTACGGTGACGCGTATTACTGCCGGTAATGGTGGCAAATGTAAAAACCGTGTTTGCGTTTCGGGCCAAGAAGGTTTTGCCGCTGCCGCCACGCGTTAATGTCGAATCGATACGACGCGCCGGCGTCGGTGGCGTGTGTGCCGCAGAGTGTTGGACAGCTTAAGCCCTGCACGCACCCACAAGCTGTCGTAATACATAATATAATATTATTATATTAATATAATGGTGTCGCTCGTGCTGATGAGAATACGGAATGTGACTTGGACCGCTGCGTGACGATTGTCGAACCATAGGATTTCGCCATATGTATGTACATAGTAACGTTATTAATATTTATTTTTTCCAAGACCACGAGTCCCCCAAGTCGGGTGGTCCGGTTTCCGGAAAAATCCTAGTTTCCGACCCCCTAGCTCGAATTTGAACACGTTACCTAAATATTTATATTTTGTAAAACAATGGGTTATTGTAAATAGAAAATAAATCGTCGTGGTCGTCCGACCAAAAACATTTTTTTATCGTGATATTCCAAGTGAGTAACTTTATAATAATGTTTACAAAACGTTTCTAATCTTATCTCCAAATTATATTGAATAGCCCAAGTGTATCGTTTGGTCAGCAGCCAAGGACTTTTAAAAAACAGAACTGACGTTCGACTATAATGATTTTACCTACAATTCATAAGTATACAATAAATTATAAAAGCAATATTTACAATAGTGTCTGCGGCAATGGTGAGGAAACCACGTTTTATTTTAACTTCGATGATAATAGAGCACGACTACAACTCATTTAAAGGTCAATACGTGAGTAGTGAACTGATGTATGAAGTAGGGCCATAACAATAGACAAGTTACACGTGTTGGTAAATTATCAAAAATGTTAAGTTGAATAATAGATAAGTAATGAAAAAAACTATAACAATTAATACACTCACCCAAACTTAGAATGTGTATTGAGTAAATTAAGTTAATAAAATAAATAATAATAACCTCCTCGTGGTCCACGCTGGGTAACTTAAATTAACTGGGAAGGATTCGGACTACTCCAAAAAAAATTTTTTTCTTGGTTTTCTCTCAGGTGATACCTTATTCCGGACGCACTTGGGATATTAAATAAGGGTCTTTTCGGGACCACTCGGGAAATTCCTTTTTTTTATAATTTTCATCCGTACACAAATCGAGCTGCCTGAGGATGGGTCGACACGTCATTCATTTTTGTCGACTACGAATCTAAGCGAGTATAATAACTACTGATCGACATGCTTTGTTTGTCGTTTCTTTCCGATTCTTTTTTAACAATATAGAGTACAAGAGCCCTAATTCTGATCGGTGCACAAATCGAGCACTGTCAGAGAAACCAATGTGACCCATTCCTAAAATTGATCACACTGAATGGGCACAGACTCCTCGCGCAATTCCGTCAAAACGAATTAAGTCATATACCATATTATTATTATTATTATTATTATTATTATTATTATTATTATAGAGAGGGCCGAAGGAATGAGTCCGGGAAAATATAATCTCCAAAGACAATCGGAAACGTGTGTAAAATAATAAGCAGAAACAAATTATGGTGACAACATGAAACCCCCGTATGGCTCAGGCGCACACACAATAGTGTATACTTCATATAGGTAGTATTGGTCCGATGGGAATAATAATAGAACATTATAATATTGTGTGAATGACGGTGACCGGGGGGAGGGGGTATGATGTATGTGGTTCTCCGAGTTGTATATTATATTATTATACCCGAATTCAGAGAAACGACGAGAAAACAACAGCACCTAATCAACTTGTACCTGCAGTCCTATGCCGGATTACGGGTCGTAGGTATATAAACAAATACACAACGTAAAGTGCGTAATGCGCCAGAATTCGATGAGAAACAAAAATATAAACAATATTGTTATTGTCATTAAATAAACTATACTAAATAAGTTAAACGAAACCAGCCGCAAATGAATAGAAGCACTAATAGCTATTAACTCGCCGATTATGTAGTAATAAAAAGTTAAAAAAAACTAAAATGTTCTACTTTCGAATTATTAGTTAATTTTCTTACTGACTTTATAACCTATAATAGAATAAGCCAAATAAGGACAATAAGGTATCCATTAAGTTTTGAACGATTATTCAGTTAATTCGTTAAATCATACGTCATGTTAAATTTGTGTAAGTTGTAGGTAATTTAGTATGTCATCGGTTAACACTATCGGTGAATACGCACAAGTCTTAAGCCCCAACTGAATTTTCTATGTTTGTTTGTATCGTTTCGTACATCTGTTAACGTGACCGGATTACGTGGTCCCTTTGATGTCACATTTAGCCATTTCTATACTGTAGTTAAATTTAATTAATTAATGTTTCGTCTAATCACGCTGTGTACAATGATTTTAAATAAAAGTAAACAAATTTGAGTTCATTAGTTTGATAATTTAGTTGACACAATTACATCAAGTTATATCCTATAAACTAGCAAATACTACCCTGAAGCCTGGACCACTAACGCTAGAGTACAATAATAAGAAACAGTAGGAAACATTTTTAGCAAAATGTTTAGTTATTATTTGCACGTATCTATGACTGTGACCCAGATGGTAATTACATTAATTCTCACATAATTTCATAAATCACTCAACTTATTTTTAACTGAGTTAAATTCATATATTTTATCTCCGCATTAACATTCAAATTTTTTAGAACTAAATATATTATCTGTTAACTTTTAACTCATAGGTTATAACTTGAAGCTGTTGAATTAACTTAACTACCTAACTCAAGTTAATATTTTCATTAACTTACATTTGAATTTTACTACTGTAACATTATAAATGACTACAACACATTTTGCATGTTTCATTGTACAACGAACAGGTAGTGTTCAACAACTCTAATAATTGGCTAATCTAATAAAAACCCATCACGTGGCGTAACCCTGGTAGTGTGATATTTTTATTTTTTTTTTTTGACAGTTTTTTTACACAAAATAATTTTTTTTGTACCTATTTACGCCAATAAATTGGTTTTTACTTCTCTCAGTTGTTTTCCAACTGATGCCCATTAAACATGAAGGTAAACATAAACAGTGTTCGATTTTTGGCCGTAGAAAGTTTATTTGAAACTTTCTATTATTATCATTATTATTATTATTATTATTATTACTATTTATTTTAGAAAAAAATCAATTCAAAAGCATCTGATAAACGTCAACAAGACATGGATCAAAGTTTGGTGTTGGATACGATTTCAAATGGTGACTTTTTTTTACATTTAAAAGATTTTAACGAATGACTGACTCAATGACTGTTATTTTGATTATATTCAGATGTCAAAGAGAGTGCTGCGAATTCATTGAGAGGCGTACCAGAACTGAAAGCGTACGTAACAACTTTGAATACACACAAACAACAAATGTCAGGTGAAAATATTATATTATATCGTAAAAGGTTGATGGAAATATTGTAAAATATAATATATGTTTATCATTAAAATAGTTATGGTTGAAAAAATTATTAAAACATTAAACTCTTCGCAAGAAGAAAAATGGACGGACGTACATATCTGGAAAAAAACATCAGGTAGGTTTCGTAAATTGACAAACAATTATATAATTTATTATAAGCCCGCGCATTGAGTACAATACTAAAACATAATAAATAGAACGTTGACATGAAATATGAGCATATATAATTTGAATCTGTGTTCATTGTAAGAATCAATTATAAAATTATAAAAATTTTAAAATATATTACTGAACACCCGTACCAATTAATTTTAAAATTAACATTTTCTCGTTATATGAGAATAACAGTTAAAGTAAAATTTTTGTTAATCAAATATTAATCTTGCTTACGTTCTTAGTTTTCTGATATTTTGATTTAAACCAATTTAACATTTGTAAAGGTTATGTTAAACTAGTTAAAGTAAGGTTATGTTGTTAAGTTATTTACAAGTAAAAATTCGAATATTTAATCTCTTTTTATTTTTTGAAACAATGTTATACCTCGGCAGGTTGTCTCGGCCACCTATTCCTAGCCCCGACATTTTCTTTTTCATGTTCTCAGTCAGTGTTTATAATGAGTTAATATTTCCGTTTTCAAAATTATTAAAGGGAAACCATCAAAATTAGAGTATGGAGTTCCACTTATCGTCGAACCTCTAACAATTCACGACGTCGGTCATGTTGTAAATGACGCATTTAGAGATTATTTGTGTCGTGAACTTCCCGGGAATAAGAAAAAACTATTTAACTCACTGGTAAGTAAATACGTGAAATAAAACATGCATACATAACATACTGGACATAGTGTATAAATGTATATTAGATACATAATATTACTGACAGAAATGTATTGTGATAAAATACTAAGGGAATTGAATTAATAACCATAGTACGAATAAAAAAAACTACTCACAAAAAAGTTATAATTGGCTGAACAGTTAAACGGCATGAATGCATTGTAGGAACTCAAAGAGCATTTGTCGTTGATTGAAGACATCCGGTGTGCGGAAAAAGACGTGATGGAAGTGCAAGAGCGTCTTTTAAGGGTTAGTGACAAAGGTGATTGGATCGAACTGAAGCCATGGAACGTTGAAAGTTACTCTCTTCTGTGTCCACGGATGTTCGTCTTCGACGAGAACGAACAAAAGGGAGGTGTGTACTTAAGTTTTTTTATTTTTGTAATGCCTTTTATTACAGGGTTAGCATGTGAATTTTAAATTAGGTGCTTCGAATGCCGATATTGTTGTTAAGAAAAAAGATTACGGTATACACCATGAAATGAGGCGGCTCAGGCTGGGTCTAAACAAAGAACGACGCATGTTAGTGAACTAAAGAGACATTTGTAGGTATTATCCAAATATTGGCAGTACATTTATTGTTTAGGTTGAACATACAACATTGTCAGCCCAAAACAGTAAGAAAATTACCTATTTTAAATAAAACCGTGAAGAGCGACTTGTTCGTAAATACCAATATTGTGAAGTTTAATCGTTTCATACTTGGTGGCATTTACAAGGTAAGAGCATCAATACAATTTTGTACTAAACCATTCTTAGGTAAAATAGAAATCGTACATTTGTATAGCGAAAGTATAACATAAAAACAAAAACAAAGTTAATTACAAAATGTACAAAGAAAAATCACTGTAATATGGCAGTAGTTACAATTATTAACAAGGTGTAAAGAAGTTACTTGGATAAGTAGTTTGTGGTTATAATGTTATGAATGCGTTTGAATACGATTTTAATAGGATAACACTTTTAACCGAAAGTCATAAAATAAACAAAATGTGAATTAGCATTAAAAAAGAGGCTTATACAAACATTTTTTGTGATTCAGTTTCGAATGCATAATTTAGGAATATTTCTCAAAAGTATACAAAAGCCATTTTCGTTTGAATTATATAACATTATTTGAGTATGAATAACTTATTTAAGTTTTTGGTTAGCGGTAGAAGTTATAAAGTATCAATTTAAGGAGTAATATTAATGAAAAAACTTGACTTAAATGGTATAAATAGAAAAAAGTTGCCGGTCTGTGGAACTTTAGTTTCAGAATTACCACTTAGAAACCAACTTACATTCAAATAATAAATGCGAAATGTAGAAAGAGATCAACTTTTAGTACAGGACTTTAATAGTTTTTAACTAAATCAGCATATTATTTCACTGAAATTATAAATTCTTCTTGATTTAACTACTTAATATTTTTAAATAAATTTGAGGAATGATTTTATTTAAATATTAAAATATCATAATATCTTTTATGTAACTATACATTAATGTATAAGTACAATAATACTGTAACTAAAAAGGAATCTATATTAACATTATCATTTACTAATAATACCCAATAATATAGTAAATATTATAGTAGGTACTTGGTATTAAGTAAAAATTAAAATTAAAATTAATTCATTTGACATATTATTTTAACAACCAGCCATTAGAAACTAGTTGCTCAGATAATACCTAATACTTAATAAAGAAATGCTTTTTCAGAAAAGAGTTATCATAACAAATTCGGGAAAAAAAGTGATACCATTCAAATTATTAACAAGCAACTTATCATTATTTCACTACGATTACAAGCCTAGATGTCCACTTGCACCGGGTATGAACGCGAAACTCACTATAACATTTAAATGTACGTCGATGGAAGATAAATACGAACTGATAACACTAATGACGACGGAGAATAAAAAAATTAATATTCTCATCGGCGCTGAAAACGTGTCACCGATACTTCACTGTGAGTACCTATAATATAATATACTAAAAACCACGCATTTTCTACGACGATATTTCGTTTTTTTACTAACCTCTGTTCTCTGCTTCAGTACTCTTATTTTAATATTGCAAAATAACTTATGAATTTTAATATTATTATGCCCGAGGAAAAATAAATCACCGCTATCGCAATGCGCACACATACACACACATAAAAACAAAACGAAAATGTTTTTACTTAGCAACAAACAACGATAACTCCGAATCTGCGAGCGAGTATATATTATTGTTTTATAGCCTTAATATTATAATGTTTTGTTTAAGTGTTGTTTTTATAGTTTTTTTTGGTGAGATTAAAAAAATAGAATATTCTTGTGATGTATTTATTTAATACATTGCAATAAATGACGAAAAATAACAATTTCCGTAATTTACAGGTAAATATTGTGAATGTCCATTTTTAATTCACATAAGAAGATTCTTAGTAATAATTTAAAAAAATAAAAATTTACGATTATTGATGTAGGCATGTATTTTTATTAACTATTTATTTTCACATGTCCAAGGCACATGACATTTCGAGTTGCGAAATTTACAGAAAGAAGAACATTTCGACAAATTACTCGTATTGTAGGTATCTACTGTATTATGTAAAACATATTTATATAGGTTCATATCCAAGAGTTGTAGCCTCCGGTATTGGCTATAGCCTCCCGCACTACATTGACCATGTTTATTTTCACCAATCATTTTGTACTAAAAAAAGATTTTATAAAAACCCTAAAGCCCGCCCTCCTCACTCCATACAAAATTCATAAAATTAAAAAGTCGCTCTAAAGCCATTTTGTGAGTAAACGATAAGACACGTAAGGGCCTATATTATAATATTATACTGCAGGTAAGAATTTAAATAAGTTTTTTTGTAAGACATCCAGTGATAGTCATAAAGGTTGAGTCAATGTTAAAAGTCGTGAAGTGCTAAATAGGCGTACAAAAAATATTTTCGATATAGTCGTGGGAAAATTAAGAAATTTCCATATTTTACGTTATTTACCGTAACATATACGTTAAACGAGTTTTGGTGTAGGTACGTCGGAATTCGTAACATGTCAAACTCTATCCCAACGAAAGGGGGTTCGCGTGGCCAGCTAGACTATTCACTTGGTTGTACCTATTGGTTAATAACATCATCATCATATTATACAAACATTCGACTGTTTTTCATTTGCGTCTGAACCGTGGTTTTCTGACCGCATCGCTTTGAAACCATATCCTGCCATTTCTCCAGGCAGGCCCTTGCACGATTTACGCATATTACAGGTAGGTGCCGGTCAAACCGCTCACGCATACGACCGTTTAACCACGATTCGGGTAGCTCAGCGAGAATTTACGTTTCAAACGCATTGCAGTACGAGAGCCGAGACTAACAAACCCTTGGGGGGGGGGGGTAGTGCAGGTGATACTGTATGGAGAACGGGCGGAAGATCGCAACCGCGGGCAGAACAAACCGTTTTGGACTTGACACGGTCCCACGGTGATCGCTGAGACGAGATTGTTATAAATGGTCGTCGATATACCTATACTACACTATGCCTATACCGCATCTATTTCGAACACTATTGGACAGCGGAAACTACCTCACGCTAACCCAGCACTTAACACCCCACTCTCCACCACCAAGCGCGTTAACAACGGCAGTTTGTCAATAGTTTCGTTAGGTACACAAGCAGTAAGTATTCGGACTGGTAACTTCGGACAGCTTCCTATAATAGTTATTCATAATATATAGGTAAGACCCGAGGCGCTAAATACTGACACGGCCGCAAACAAACTGCTTATCCACGCGAACTGTTAAGTGGAAATTTTAATTAAATTAGAACGTATAATATTATATTATAATATTGCCATTTGGATTACGTCTCCCCATCCCAACCACCATGCAAAATGTATTTAATTCTAAAATTGTTGACACTACGCCTAAATAAAAGTCATTCAAATTAAAAAAGTTATCATGTAAATGCATGCTAAATATTGACCAAACATTTTCTTTTTATTTCAATGGGGTGAATAAGTGGAGGGTGACTCGTACGTGATAAATCTGTAAAAACTACAGTGAGGTAATATGCATTATAGATAATAATTATATGGTTGTACTTTATAGAAGGGTTTTAATATTTAGGTATATACAAAAGCTTTATTAGCCTAAATGACAAAATATAATACAATACAGAAAATCATAACCAATTATAATAACTATTACATTATATGTATATAATGCGGCAGCCCTATAAACAAACAAATAAAATATTCGATGTTGGTGAGCTGAAACAAAATGCATGTGTGAGCTACCCTTTATTGACCTGCGTGGGTTAAAATACAAGCCCTCCTCAAATCTCAAGGAATATATTGATGTAGGTAATTTTTATTGAAAACGGTCTGATAGTTTTTTAATCTATAAATGACAAAGAAATAAAGAACATCCATTGTTTATATATATTCAAGATAAACAGTGAATAAAACCAATTTAAGTTTTAAATACAAATTAGTGAGTTTCAGTGTGCAATGATCACACTTAAGAGGATTTGAAAACTTTTGAGGACTTAATTCCAAGCCTTTCGATTCTTATCCAAATCATTCTGATAACTGGCGTATTTTATTAGACATTTGTAATCAGCATATCAACAGTGCTTAATACATTTTTAAAATTGTGTAATACATATATTATTATTTTTGAAAAAATAATTTCTTTTGGCAAAACTATTACTATCGCATTGTATTCACAACCAAAAGGTACTATGAAAAGTGTAATTAAACTACTAGAACCACCTCGCGTGTTTCTAGATACTTTAGAATGTTACGATGACATGAAAACCACAGACTGTAAAAAATTAGCACTTCGAAAACCATCAAGTGTCTGCTTGTTCGAGTGCAACGCTTGTCTGATGGGTGCTCGTAAGACCATAATCGTCAAGATAAAAAACGTTGGACGGTCATCAAAATTTATTTTAGTCCCCGAAGACGTATGGTATACAAAACCAGTTGAAGTGAGTACACTATTTTTGTAATATTTAGCCCAACTATAAAAATAATGAAACCTTATAATTTGAAAAGTCGACTTCAACAATCATTTCAATAAACATTAGACAAATACCTAAGTATAACTATGTCCAAAGGGCAAAGAGACGATATAATATTATATACCTATAGGTATATAGAAATACATTAATTCTACATTATAAATCAAATATTTAAATCTTGGTATTGTTAAATAAATATCAGTATAAAAAAGGTGTAAGTAGGTATCCATTGTATTTGCGATGTTTGAAACATAGATACTTTTTTTTTGTAACAGTTAGTGCTGCAATACTAGCTTTAAAATATAAAACGTTGATTATACTAAAATAATAGAACAAATTGCTTTTGCTCCTTAAAACGGTTTTATATTACATTCGGTATTGGAATTGCATTATTTAGTTTAAAAATGTAAATAGTTTAGTGTTACACGATAAGCTGTAAGAGTAATTGGGTTTATAAGTGAAGAAATCCATGAAACAAGTAAAACTATTTATCAAACTACTCGTTCTATTTAAATACTGAATAATTAATGTGGTAGTAAATACGTTTGACGCATAGTCAAATATAATATACACTTAGTCGAATATCGTCTTTGCTTTTACGAAGTTCAGCCGTGATGTATACAAAATTATTCACTCGACTAAAATGGGATTTATTTATCCGCCAAATTTAAATGAGGAACATTAGAAAGTCATACTGTATAAAAAAAAATAAGCAATTTAAATCACTCAATTAACTTGAGTTTATAATGTAACGTATAGCTACATTAATTCAATTCACGGTATACAAATATAAATGAAACATTAAAATGGCTGATATGAATCGATATTATGTGAAATAAATCATACTCAAAAATTGTAATAGGAAGTTATATGATTGCGATAATAAATTAATGTACCGTCACAACATTTAATGGATTGGATTTTTAACTACATATGCATAATACGAATAAAAAGGGTGGCTAACAATAAGAGAAAGAGAGTAAGAGAGCAAACAAAAGATAAATGTAAATTATAATATCATTATTATAGATTTATTTAGATTTTAGTGAAATGAATATTTTTATTTTTATAAAATTATGTTGAATGTTAATGTCAAACTGTTTAAATGTGAAAACATGTAACTAAAATAATAAATGTATGAAAAATCATTAAGCAACAAATTATTATTCAAATATGAAATTTTCAAAAATCTGCTTGAAAGAAAACCATAGTAATAATTAAATACATTTATTTTTGTCTGATAAATATATTAGCACAATGATCATAATGAGCAATTTCTTATTTTATTATACTTACATAAAATATACATTATTATGAAGTAGATCAAGTTTAGGAAAACCAGATATTTATCCTTGGGGGCAATATTATCTTTATTATTTTGGGCTTTAATTATGTACGTATTATGATGTATTTTTGGTTTATATTCATCAGTGACAGACTGCTAACTAAATCCCAGTTCTAAAATTCTTAAATCCAGTCCTGCACTTGTATGTGTCCATAGACAATTTAAAATTAACAAAATATCTTTTACGTTATATGTATATTTTAGGACGTTGAATGGAAGAAAACAATGATTTTAGGCGCATTTACAATCACACCGTCAATATTCGAGATTGATTATGAGCAAACAATGGAACTCACTGTTGTATTTAAGCCACGTTTGTCGTCATTTTACGTATGTTTCTTTGAAGTTTAAACTATCAAAATTGGACAGTAACCTGATTAAATAATAATAAGATTAATAATATTAATAATAATAACCTGCGATAACTGCTTATTAACTTTTGAACAAATATAAACAAGAAACAAGATAAAACCTTAGGTCAATATCTAACGAAACCGCTAGGTTCTTTTATTTTGCATAACATAATAATAATTGCAGTCAGGTGGGGACAGCGCTGTGCGACATTTGATTTATATTATACATATATAATATTATTATTTAAAGTAGTGTGCTTGTCAAAGAGTCGTCAGCGCTGCACTTACAAAAAATAAATAAATAATTCAGTCCATTTCAAGGAATCAAATCTGAAAATCTGAGTGAATTTTATGCATGTATTCCTTTTTTGTCGTCCATAAGCAGTAAGCCGATTAACCTTTTTAAAATTAGTAGGAAGACAAACAAGGTATTTTCGTTAAAATAAAAATAAATGATAAAGTTTGAATTCCAGAAGACTTACAACTCTGAAATGTCCAAACGCTGTAGGCTATTATGTGTGTTTGTCTTTGAGTAGCTTGAAGTAAAAATTCTCATCGAAATGTTTTGATAAGATGTTTTTTATACCACAAAAAAGGTTACGAATTCGTGTTTAAAAATACCGATAACATTATCCAATCAATAAAATATTATATTCAAAATCATAAAATGCAAATTTACTAACATAGATTTAAAATAAAAAAACTTTGTAAACAAATTTAAAATTTAACATTAATTTATTCTCAATCTGAAACATGTATTCCTTATTTTCACTAAATAATACCGATCTTAATAATATGATGATTATATGAAAAAAATAATTATAAGAAATTATAATTATAATTATCAGAATCTTAAGTAGGAAAATATGTAAAATATGTTAATATTGAAAATATGCCACAATTCAATTTCATAATCTAACAACTTTTAAAATATAAACACTCGTTTGCTACAAATCTTGTACATTTTGTGTTGCTTAAATCGATTTTGCAGTTAATTATAGAGACCTCAAACAAGTTAAGATTTTTTCCTAATAGTAATTTGATGATAATCACTCGAATAAACACACAAATATAATTTGAAATTAACAGATCTAATGTTATACAAAAAAAAAAATGAAATCTTATCTTACATTTAGTAAAAATATCTTACATCGTATAAACACTAACAATTATTAAAGGAACGATTTTCTTTTACTGGAAGTTAAACGTTTCTATAGATAATACGGTCGTGCCTAATTAGTTTTTAGAGTCATGAATCTTAAGTTCAGTCGGTAATTCAATATAGTTGAAACATTTCACAGTGCGTTTCCCTTGAGATGAACTACAAGTATACAATTTATGTTCAAATCGTATTACACTTTACAATTATTTTTAATTTCAATATTACCAGTTTGAAATTTAGAATAATTTTTACTTTTGGTTATATGTTTTTATACTAAAAAATTTTAGTTAGACAACAGAATCATTTCATAGTCATTTGGTTTTTATTTTCAAAATTTATATTGGACATTATAGCATCAACCATAACTTCAAACTATATTATTCAAGTATTTATTTGAAATATTAGTACTTTAAAGTTCAGTAAGTTCTCGATAAATCGACAACGAAAGTCCCATAGAAATCTTCTGTTTGCCTAAATATAATAAGTTATTACCTACTCGTTTTTCAATAACTCAAATTTTGTTTGTCCCCTTAGGCTTTCTACTTATGGGATTTGAAAAGCATATTTACTTAGATGCCTTTTCCCAAAAGTTACGGTTAGAAACTTGTTATTATTATTCTTACTACTATTATTGTTATTACTATTATTATTACTATTATTTCAACTGGCCTTATACTATTATTCGTCTCTTATTTCGTTTCTATTCAGATCAATGTCGTATGTGCACGTGTCTATTTTATGGAATATATCCTCATTACATTACAAATACGCACATTGTTTCGTCAGTTTTACATGTAGAAGCTATTTACATTTGGCACATGTTCAAAAGCCATTGAGATGTTTCTATCTACTTTGACTTTGTTTACATGTCGAGTACTTACATAATAATAGTAATATTCACAAGCTTACCGCCTATTCTGTTACATAACTTTTCCAAAATGATCTCTCATCTCGAACCTCAGTCCTCGACTGTTGTTACATATGAACGATAAAAATAAAAATAAATTTCTCGGTTTTCCGGTCGAGATTAATCCCAGTATTCGTTCTATATTTGTCTTCGCATACACGCTTCACGGCAGCGACGACTCTATCTGCGTTCCCAGGTGCGCCGGAAAATCATATAGAACTTTAAGACGTCTGATTTTTCTAATATTGCGGTATGGTCCATATTAAAGTCGGATCTTTACGTACCTACTACACCAATCATTCCTTTTCAGTGTGAACCCAGCCGTTATTGACGCAAAACTCTCCACACACACACACACACATTTAAACAAAGGGGGACATACACTACACTAAATTGTAAAACGTTTACCGCTTACGTTCGCCTCGAGTTATACGGAAACGTTTTGTCGTTGTACTACGGTTCGAAGACGTAACTCGCCCACGTGAATGCGTTGCAATAAATGTATAGACATAATAGGTAACCTACATTATTCCGTATAGACTGTAATAATAAAGTTATACCGTTGTCGGGAGGGACGTCACGTTCACCGCGGCGCGGCGTGCCGATTGTCTCGGTCGAAGACGCGACGAGCACTGCCCCGCGATGAACCACTTCACCTCCCCCCCACCCCGCCTCACACACAACAATCCGCCCACTCAACAAACCGAAAATCGATAACCGACCGACGTATCCGACGTTGTGTTTTTTGGGTTCGCAGTGTACCAGATTTATAATCGTGTCTGACAATTCGTGCGCACAAGAAGTGAACGTGTTTGGCGATGGTCAGATGTTTGGCGCTCGGAGCGTACGACTCACGGTAAGAAGCCGGACGTGGCGGAGTGCAGGAAAAACAAAACCGCTACACAGTCTACCGGTGTATGTGTGTGTAAATGTGTGTACATTTTTACCTTTATATGACCTGCCGTAGGGACCGGGTTTGCTGTGCACCGAGGCGGAGGCAGGAAGTTACGTGCTCGACATGGGAAAAATTGGCCAGGTCGTCCGGTACGTGTACGCGAAAAACACAAGGTAAAGCCAAACTCGCAAACGGATAACCCCGCGTGACCGGCACGACGACGGTCGTTTAGCGATATATTTGAGTGTGTGTGTGTGTGTGTGTGTGTGTGTGTGTGTGTTCGTGTATATGTATATTATAATCATCGTAACATTTCGGTTATTATGATACAATTATTATATTATAATTCTCTGGAACCGATTACCCTGCAGCCACGAGCGGGGGCCGTTAGGATTTAGTGGATGGGTGAGGGTTGTGCGAGTGTGTATGCGGGTGTGTGTGCGTGTGACGCGAGAAAATGGATGGGACGCACGTGATAAAATTAAAACCGCGCACGGCGCGTATGTATACTGTACTGCAGTGTACACGGTATTATACCACTCGCGTGTTGGGATGAGCTGCAGGCGGACAGCAGTAAATTTTAAAGCGACCTTCAATCGGAATACGAAAACAATTCTGTATAATAATATAACAGCGGAACACTACACATACGAAAACCAAAACGTTAGATAGGCGCGTACACGCATTATAGGTATTATTGTTGCATAATATCTCACAATGGGAAATATGTTATTTATTAATATTTATTTATTTATTTTATTTTTAAATGGTTTTAATCAATCCAACGCGATCGCCGTTTTGAAAACTTGATACGTATAATCGAAGTTTTGTTTATTACGTCGGACTACTTACATATTTTATTATTACTCCTAAATGCTTAAATATTTAACGAAACATCAATTTTTTTTTTATTCATCCCGTTTAACGTTTTACGTTCAATGCCATCCAAAGTTATGGCGGTTTGACGACAATATATTTTACAACGATAACCTTAGTCCATACCCCTAACACACACGATTTAATTATATTTACGCAGTACCTACGAATAAAATTTTATCACGTGTGTAAATATGGATATTATTAGGTGTATAGTATAATTTACAAATATTATGTCAACTCTGAATCATTAATGTTTGTTGTCGCTTTGTAACCTGAATACACACAAGCTAGCATCGAAAATACTATCTTGCCTTTATAAAATATCGGCATCGATTTTGAGCCCCTTACAAAACATAGTTTTTATTATTGTTCAAGATGAGAAAAAATTAAATCTTGCGGACTCTAGATGAATTGTACAGTTCGTAGAAATCGAAACAGTGTTCTGTTTTTGACATGACGGAAAAAAATAACGGCCGTGATGTATTCTAAAGGGGAAACCGAATAGATAAAACATAAATACAATGTCAAAACAAGACGAAGTTTCCACTGTGGTTTTTACTACCGCGGTCATAATCAATTTCCATACTTAACAATTGAGGAACCAAAATGATAAAAAAGAACATTAATATCACATTTTTCACCGAGCTATAAATAATAAATAATAATACATCATAGAACACACTAAGACTATAAAAATATGCTTTTATTGATCTTTAACAATTTATCTACATTAATACTCTATCCAAATATTTGTTATATTATGCAGTAAAAGTATTAGCGTAATGCATGTCATAGTTTTTAAGGTTTTAATTTTCTGTTGCTAAATTACAACATCAAAGTTCAGAAGTTCTTCCTCATACTTGAATTATTTTAAAACGTGGTCAAAACTGAAGTACGATAATTTATACTTTATATTTCACATGCATATTAAAAACTTTAAAATTTAAGAGATGCAATAAGAAAAAAAAAAATTTTATAGTTACACTCATACACTTATTTCAATAATATTATTCCGCAGCAAGTTTTCCAATAATCGTTTATTCAAATAATGTTTCTTAGTATTACTAAAAAAGTGTGCAATGTAATTTAAACATAATTAATTTTCTTGTATTTTATTTACTGGGTGTTTAATTGTTTATTATTTAATACAATTTAATTAAAAACAACATTTACTAAAATTATCATTAATTGAATTATTACTGAAATCTAGTTATGATAAGTTTCACATAATCATGTTTAGTTTAATTATTTTAATAATGATTTTCCTGGTAATCATTTTATAATATTGTTACTAAGTTTCATGTAATGATAATCGACACATTTTGTGTTTAAACTAGATGTGTATAATGTTTTTAAATTTTATATGTTAGTAAGATAATATATATTATTTCAATTAATTAATTTAAATAGGAATATTGAAAAAATATGCATTACTTTTGTTTAAAGTCCCTCGGATACTGATAGTTAAAAACAATGAATAGAACCTACTAAACTGATGGATAGGTATTGAATAGTCAAATACGAACATTGCATTGCTATTATTAGAAAGTATCGTTACATTAAAATTAGAAGATATTTATGAAATAAAACAATATTATAAAATGCTTAGGCGCCAACGAATTCGCATTTCACTTTTTGGTAAATCGTTTAATGTTTATGAAAAATAAATTTTGTTCTACAGAATAATTTTATTAAAATAAAAATATGCATAGGAAGGATTTGCGGAAAAAGTTTCGTTTGTCACTATACGACGTCAATCATGGTAACCATTGAATTATTTCCATTTTAAATGTGATTTATGATTTTTATGAAAAATATTTAAAGAACAAGTACATTAATGAATACAGCTATTACAGTCGTTAACAATAAAACTAATAGCTTGCAAGTTTTTCTTTTTTAACGATTTCTCGCATTGGTCTATATTATGCTTTGTGCATGGGCCGGCTTTATCGTAAACATCTCGTTTTTCTTTTTAATCACGTCATTTTTCGAATGTCGTGGTTAGTATGTAAAAAAAATTTTAAAAAAAAATGAATTATGAAGTTTTACAACACTTGAATACATGCGATAACTGAAGGAAAATGTGCGATATAAAACGTATCAATTATTAGCTTGTTCGATATAAAATACCATAAATCTCTTTTTTCGTTGTTGTTCTTTTTTCTTTCCTTTTTTGTCCTCTCAAATAGTCGTATCAAATATCGGTATCGCTGGATCATTAATCATGCAATCGACAATCCAGGTTCAAAAAACGCCAAAGTAAATTTCAACATTCATCCGTCAACTGGGTTATTAGACAAGTTCTCGAAAACGATGTTTCGAGTGGAATGCGGAGTCTCAGACGAGATAGTCAATGAACAACTTACGGGAAAGTATCGTATAACCGCTACGTAAGTATTAAGTGTTTTTACATTGTTTTATATCATAAATGCACACACACAACAAAATTGTTACGAGAAACGAAATAAAGTCAATCGATATCGTTGAAAAGCATACAAATGAAAACGTGAAAAGAGCGTATTATTATAGTACCTATACACTGATTACACAATGTTGATTGTTCATTATATTATTTATGCCACCCAAAATGTTATTCAATTGTGATTTTTAAACCATCCAAAGCACTAAGTCAAACCAATATAATGTGTAATGAGTTTACTACATGATTGTCTTTAGTCAATACATTTCTATATTTTCACAAAATTATTCAAATTTATATTATTACAAGAATTAACAACGATTCAATTTCAATAGTAGATTTATCAATTAAACAAAATTAAAATATAAGTATTAAACGTTAATCGATTTTGTTTTGTCTTTTTTGTCAAGGATTTCAAAACAATATAAAATATCTGGCTAAATATTGTTCTCAGTTAAGTTACCAAAATTATTAGTATCGCAGTGAAGTCACACGTTAAATACATTTTTTAGTCATACAAAATAATTATTGTTTTTATAATATTTACTGCTATATAATTTTAGACAACATTGTGTTCAGCAAAAAATTAGATCAATGAATTTTTTTTAGTTTAACAATTAATAAATTGGACAAGGTTTACTATAATCCGTTAAATCGTTTAGTTGAAAAAACATTTTACCAATTAAAATCATTAAACGGTAATTACAATTACATTTTATTGATCAAACACATAAATGTATTAAAATAGTTTTTAAAAAATCTACATCAATACAAAGAACGTGTACACTATACGTATACCAGGCACGTATATAGGGTGAGATGGGGGTTGATTCCTCCCAGGAATGTTTTTCTGTTTAGGTGTCTGACCTATATATAATTTTGTAAAATGTTTCGGTGTTTTTATATGTATTACAATAGTATCAGTGAAATCTTCCTCGGGTGAAGCTATAAAATATTGTGGGTTACTATCGTGGCATAAACTATAAACCTCATATATAATAAGGGAGAATGCAAAAATACATAAATATTTAATACATATTATTATTAATTTTCAATATTACTTCACATTTGAACATCAATTTATTAAATATTTGTATTTTTTTTTATTTTTGGACAAAAAGTATAGGTATTGGAAGTAAAATAAAATAGACATCTATGTTAGTATAGTAACATGTACGATCGAATGTCGACCGATAGTTAATTTATAAGACATACTTTTTCCTAAGTACCTTATATATAATGATGTTTTAATAGGTATTTTTATAAATAGATATGTCATCCATAGGATTCATAGGATCCTTTGACCTTTATAATGAAAAAAACAGGATTATGGTGAAAGTCATTGCCGTTTAACTTAAAAATAGTTTGAAATTAGAACGTTTAAATGAGAACTCTATATTGTATTTTTATGTTAATTTTGGGTTTGGTACATTAATTTTGATGTGTACCATAAATAAAGGTAACTCGTAAATTACACTTTATCCCAGTTTTATTAAAACTTATCATAATTTTTTTATAAATCTCTCTAGAACTTGGTTATGAATGCTTATTTTTTTATAAACAAGTAAGAACAGTATAAAGAAGAACCACGTAAATCACTGTAAGAAATAACTGAAATAAATACCCAAATATCGTTAATATTGGAATTGTATAGGCATGAAAATCTGTTCTAAGGTCAGTTGAAGACAATTTAATTTAATTTCAAATATTGGTACCTGGAATTCGCTGCTCTACGTTATATGAATAGCAAAATATTAATATAAATCTCCTACGATACAAATTAATTTGCTTTTTGAAATATGTAAATGAGAAATGAAAACATAAACTTTGATCAAATAATCTGATTTACTGAGTGAATTTTTAAAAACACAATATTTTAAGAGTATAATTGTATGTTTATTTTTCTAAAATATAAATTATGCAGTTACAAATATGCATTATTGCATACATAAAGGTAAATGTTTTATCTCAGAAGAATTAACTATAAAAATATTTATATTTCATTTCCCATTTTAATATTAGTTTTTGAATGCAGTGCTATATATTTTATTATTATTTGTACGCTCAACACTTTTTTTAAAACATCAAATAAACAGCAAACACCAGTTTTTAGGCTATTAACCATTTCCCAATAACCATTTACCCGATGACTTGAGGAGTAGGGGCTCCGACTCGTTAATTGAATAAGTACAATCATTATTTATCGTTAAATACAAATTTCAATCTTCATGTCCGACTCGGTGACTAACTCAATATATATTATTTTCTAATAGTTACTTCTTATAGTTACTAGTTAATACTAGTGTGCTATACACATTACGGCAGACCGTAATTATAATAACAAATAACTAATTAGTAAATCGTATCAGTAATTCTATTAAATTATATTTAACACATAATATACCGCAAAACGCAATTATTTAATACACAACGTATAATAATGTTTTTAATGTACCTAAGGTTTAAATAGTTAAAAGTAATTAAACTTAACACATTATTTAGTTTAAAAGGGGTACAGAGTACCTACTAACAATTTATTTATGCACATGACATATTTTACTCGTTTTATACCGAAACCCACTAGTGGAAATGTAGGTTATAGTACTTAGTTACTCGAATTATAATAGACTAATTTCCATTCAATTATTCTACTCTTGTTTATGTAAATTCAATTAATATTATTACTTCTGTTATTATTGATTTGTATTTATAAACTTTTTAAAAAATGTAATGTGGACACATCAATAGGTAGTTATTACATTCGTTAGTTACGTTTTTTTTTTAAATTTGTTAAAACAAAAACTTAAAGAGTATTATTTTATAGCTCAAAAATAATTATACAATAATCACCAATGATTATTGTTAAAATGTATTTATATAACCTTATTTAACTTGATCAACTACGAACAGACAGTAATAACAGATTAGACAAATATCATAAAGTTAATAATTGAACTTCATAATTTTCTTCGAAGAATATAAAATATAGGATTTAAAAGTTGATAGAGTACTACCAATAAATAAATAATAAATAATATATAAAATGTTAATAGCATCAGAACTTCGTTTAACATTTATCTTTATTTCTTATAAGTTCGTTACACATTATATGGTTATATTTTATGAGTTCCGGTTTACAAAATTATTAGTTTGAAAATATTTTGGATCAATATTTTCAATTTTGTTAAAGCTCTACATTATTTATTTTTACAAAAATATTATTTTATACCTACTCACTAAACAAATAAGTATAATTTGGTTTAAATATAAATTTATACCTACGTGTTTGTTTTTTTTTTTTTTTTATGAAAATAAAAAGCATGATGATTGATGATATCCCCAAAGAAAGTATCGAGGATCAAAATATATTTTTCGAGGAACAAGAGGACAACCCAGAGGTAAAATATCCAAGTATAATTAATTAAAAATTAATTAATTATCCAAGATTAATAAGAGTTTATCCATCACATTGTATAATCTCTTTCTGGATTGGTGATATAAATATAAGCATATAATATATAGAGTATAGTATATATTATAATGACATTATAATACGGCAGAATGAAGAAAAAACATTATTTACTCTTCTAATAATATTTTAAAACAGTTAATAATAAATTGATGTGGGTAAAACAAAAAAATGTTTTTAGATATGAAATTTGTATTTGAATTACCGTGTACTACCATGACCTAATTTTTAGTACTTATTACAATTATTAGAAAATAAGAATAATATCCATAGCATTGGGCAGCGATTCAATTCATATTTGATCATTTTTTTCCCGTATTTTGACTAAACATGGCTAGACAGTTAATGAGTTCGAAGATTGTATTACAAGCATAAAACTAATTAAATTTAACAATTCGCTCTGAGCCGTGTGAATAAGGATACAACGTCGAGAAATGGCAGTTAATGATATATATTATCATGTAGATCGTTGTGTGTAATTACTGTATTGTAACAGTATACACAGAATCGTACTAAAACGACAGTGTGCGAGTTTAATATTAGATAGGTTTCCTAGTCGTTTTATCATTTTACCGACGACTTGGACACGGTCATTTCAGTAACTTTGAACGTAATATTACTCAATAAAATATAACACGGCAGTAAACCCGTACATAATATATTATATAATGTCTCCACGTTACGGAACTACGTGTAGTTAAATTTATGGCGATTGTTCTCTCTTAGAACGAGGACAGTTTTATGAGGTGACCGTCTGCATCAAACATCATTAATAACAATAACTTGGACGTGCAAATAATTAGAGGATGTAATTTTATTTCAAATGTTTTTGATTAAAAACGTATTAAAACATATTATAAATAGAAGACAATAGGTTTGAATAAGAAATTCCTACGTCATGTAACAATAAAATATTATACGCACAATAGTTTCTAAGTCAATCTTAGATTTTAAATATAATTTAAGCCTATTTAAGCCGAATGAATGATTAATACTAATCAATTATTAAAAAATCAAATAAAAAAATGTTATTTAATATAAGTGCGGAGGTAAACAGACATTATTTTTAAATAGAAATCAGAATAACAGAGAAAGTCAAATAATTTTTTTATTTTACTTTTCAATTTACTAATTATTATCGAAAGTCAGTTTCCTACCTTATCATTTTAAAACAAGTAAATGAAAGTATTCGTACAAAGCAGGTGAACCTAATCATCTTATAAATGCATTTTATATTTGACACCAAACATCGTTTCAATAGTAATCAATTACAACAGTTCCTGAAATTTTTTTGCTTAAATGATATTAAAATATTGAAAAAATCCTATTTTTATTGTACCGACTCAATAATATAATGAAAATTACAATATGCTTCACCTACCAAAAATTAAAATTTAAAATTAAACAATATTTCGTCTGATCAAACATTATACAAGCCGATTTCGTCTCAATGTTCCGCATGGTACTAGATTTCTGTTATTAGTTTTCTATTTGTTGTTTGACCCGGATAAAAATGATTCAATCACAAAAATGATTGTAAGTTATTTGCAATCAGTTTTGAAATAACGAAAGAAAAAAAGTTATTGATATACCTATTTAGAGTGTTTCAAAACGAACGTTCCAAACGGCCGTATAATGTACGTCTGTTCTATAGTCGCTGTCAATAGAAATTGCTGAAATCGAAGTGATATCCGAATATAAGGGGAAAGAACGCATATCATTATGTACCGACCGCATAATCGTGGACTTGAATTGGCATCAACTGAGGTAGATACACCCAAACAAAATGTATACGATCGTTGCAATGTCTACGCTGCACGGCGAGCACAATTTTTTGTTTTGTAAACGTATATAATATGTATGACGACGCGTTTCGCATATCAATATTTTAGGACCGATTTGTGCGTAAGAGAAACTGTGACGTTTGCCAACAACGGGTCGTGTCCCGTGCGGGTCTCGTGGATTCCCAGCGCCGATAACGCCGCCGCGGCCGTGGGGGTGGCACCCGAGTCGTTCGAAATCACGGATCGCGCCGAAATCAGGGTGCAGGTGGAACCCCTGTGTCCGGGGGTTCAACTGAGGGAGACGTTGAAGTTCTCGGTGGAAAACCGGGACGGCCAAACCGGTGAGATGGTGCTGTACGTGCGCGGTACGGTCGAACAGATGCCCAAAGTGCGCGTCCGGCCGGCAATCGCACCGCTCGACATCATCTGCGCCGGTACACTGGAATCGTACGACGTCGAATTCGAGGTGACGTCCGACGGTCCGTTTCACGTGAAAAGGTGTCTGTACGCGTTCGACACCGACGTCGGTGCAGAGTTGAGTCTGCGTGGTGACGTCAAGTCGTTTGGACCGTACGGAAACGGAAATACGACCATGATGTCGCAGCTGGCTAAGTTAAACTTCAAGACACCGGTCGAAACCGACGTAAGTGGAAAATTTAGGGGGGAAACAGTGAATAGATCAGAGAACGGGTTAAACAAGGCAGCTGGTAGGAAATTAAATGCGAATGCAAACGCTTAATATATTAATCTTGTCGTCCATTGACGATGAAAAGAAAACAAAAGTAGTATTGTGACTGGTATTCTCGACCAAACTACGTTTCAACAGCATCGACGAGTTTACACATTTCGTTAAAACTTTTTGAATCCAACACCAAGATATGTAATTGAAGATGTAGACAGTTTTATTGTGTAATTGTAGGTCGAATAAGTATCGCTTAACACATTAATAATAATTGTTACTACTGACATTTAATTGTTTTTCTAATGTTCTTAATAAGATATTTACACTACACACATTATTATGATTATTATACGATTTTAATATCTGAGAATGGTTAACACAATTTTCCTGGTAATATAGTGGAGATAATTTACTATTGCACTATGAAATAAAATAAATTATAATAATTAATGTATTAAATCATACTTTGAACATCTACTTGACTTCTACTCATATGCTTGTAGATATAAATGGTTATGATATATGTGTACATTTGTTTTAAATGAAAATAAAATAATAATTATATGCTATAACACAAATGGAATTCATTTTGAAAAATAAAATGATTGATCATTATCTATAGAAACACGGTGACATTAAATAACACCGTTTCACTTTGTGTAGTCAACAGTCATATTTTTGTTTAAATTTCTCAGTGCAATTACTTCAAAGTGCGAAATGTTCTTTTAAAAACTAAAGAAATACTCAGTTAGAAGTAAATTCAAGTAATATTCAAAGAGAGAAATTGTACAAAAAAGAATAACTTAACTGACATACATAATGCATTTAAAATAAGAACCACAGCATAATATCAATAATAATCTATAATCTTTAATAACTACATAAAAATATAAGTACCATACCGTATAATAATTATCGGTTGATTATTAATCAACTTATTACAAGGGAAATTATATTGTATTCAAATAAAAAATGTATCGTATTTTTATGCTACTAATTGTATATGTCTACCCGAACAAAAAAAAAACTTTAAAAGATTAAATTATAATTTGAAAGTTAGTATGCACAAAGTGAAAATCATTTTCAGTCTCATGTCTTAATTAAATGGTGCGGAATATCTTAACTGTTCATACCTAGTCAAGCGAATAAGTGATTATATACGAGCCTCCTTAATTTAGTTTATAGGTACGAGGCGTTTCTTTATTAATTCATAATCGCTAAGGCAGGTATACCCGCTGCCAGGGTAAGTCGTCCACAATGATATCTTGTCAACCTTTAGGCGAATGGGCTCTCGTGTCAATTAGCCGAATGGTCGTTCGCTGGGTCAAAGACGGTCCATACCCAGTCCATGACTTACGCGACACTCCCAGATTTGCGTTTGAACGTTAACAGCATTACCATTGCCGAGTCCCTTTACATGGGCATACCTCACACCCACAAAGGAATTCGGTTGCTCAATAATACACATTGTGATTTTGTCTACTCTTGGGGCAACCCAATGGGATTGGATTCAGATAGAATAGATTGAGAGTTCAAACCCAGCAGTGGGACTGTTAATGGTAACGCGAATGTTGAATTTGAATTTATTGTGACACCGAAAAAAAGCGTAAGGGCTACGACACTTAACTCTAACGAAAGACACGTGATCCAAAGACGTAATGATTTTTTTAGGGCCATTTAAACAAATGCCATGTACCATGTTTTGTACAGTGCAACGCACTTGCACCACAACAGTTGAGTGTCGAATGTTGGATATATGATTTCAGTGCTACAGTGACGTATGTTGATGTGTATGACACGGAATACAGCATTGTGTGGCAAGACAAGTACTTATAATAACCATTGATCATTTTTTTATTCAATCAACAAAGTAATCTTACAATCGAAAAAAAGTTTGACGATTTATCCATTTAACCATTAGTTCTAATTTGTATGATATTATTATTTTTAATTTGGTAGATACGTGTGGGCCCTAGGTATTATTTTATAATTACTTAATAAGATCTATACATAGGCGTACGCATCAATAATCATTTAATCGTATCAATAGATAGGTACCTATATTATAACTTATTTTGGCAAATATTCAATAGTAATTTGTTTTATCTATATACCTTAAAATTAAGCTTGTTTGGCGAAAATTACTATACGGTGCCTATACTGTCAGCGGCAACTTTGAATACAATAAACACTAACTGAAATCCAACAAAGTTTTGGTACCTTCACTATAATATACAAATTATGTAACAGTAAGTCTATGATCATCATTGTTCCCCTTTTATTATGATTAAAACGTCCAATGATTCACTGTTTAAGAAATATTGGATTATCAAAAAATATACTTTTATTATTTTATTTAAATATATTATTACAACCACATTAGTTATTACTTCTTACTTGTTTACAGTGACATAATTTAATTTAATATATTTTTCTACTTTTTTTCTATTATTTTTAGGTAAATAAGTTAGTTAACTAACTTAATATTGCTTAATTTAAATTATAAGTGTGAGTATTTGTTTAAATTTAAGTATCGACGTTGAAAATGATGATTTATTATAATTTAATTAACACAATAAATACAATTATAGAAATCATCTAATTACCTTTTATTAACTCGAAATATAATAATAATTTTCCAAAGATAACCTATTAATTTAAATACCTAGATATCATTGCTTATTTTCTCATTTGCGTTTGTATAGTAAAAAACAATGGATCGTCAACACAGATCAAATGGAAATTGATTTATTTGAATCCGAAAGCAATCAAACTTCAATAACCAAATATTTAAATAATTTTGATACGGAAAATGCAGAAGAATATGAAATTGAGTAAAGTTACAATATTAAAAATTTATGTTATATGTTTTAGTCAAAACCTCAAAGCATCGCTGATCAAATATTATACTTTTATAAATCTTTCAAATCCTTAAAAAACATAGTGCGTAAACTATTTCAACAGTGAATTCTTTAACAAACAATAAGTCATGTACTCCATATTACACTTCATTAACCTTCCTTGTTTTCTTATTTTACCAATTAATTTTAAATTTTGAATAATATATATGTAGTTGGATGTATTCTTAAGATAACTTCTCAATTCACCTTAGTAGAAAAAAAAAATGAGAGCTTTTATCATGTATGTCTAGTGTCTACTAAACATTTAAATCAGAAAGTTTGTCTCACGTTTATATAGTCGCAAATTCTAGGGTAGGTACCTATTTGTTATATAAAAAATATTCTTTTAATAATTATATAACCGCGGTAAACGACTAAGCTAGTGCGCATAGAAGTTTTTAGCTCGTTGAGCATAAAAGCTCTGATAAAAGCTAACAGGGAAACCATAAAATGACCGGATGCGATTGCGGTGTATAGGCCGGAAGACCGGGAACCGACCAAATGGCGTTTTGGAGAATGGCCGAGACGTGACACGTCGTTATCTGCACCGTTGGTCGAACAATTTGAACGAAATCTGGACTGCTACCACCCCGTAATGGAGTTTAAAGACATAGAATGCAATACAGGCACAAACATCCATAATATTATTTAAAATATAGCTTAGCAACAATCTATTTTATGACTTTATTTTTAAAATATGTTTAGATGTGAAACAGAGTATAACTATTCGAAACACTACGAAAATTCCATGTCAAGTCAAAACTAAAGTTCGATATCACGGTCATTCTATACCGAACATAATAGACAGTAAGTACACAACCACATGGATATTTGCTATAAACTAAACTACGACCAATTATCGTACCTTATCCATTATTGTATCGATTAAATTGCTATAATACGTAATAATCAGCATTAATGAGGACTGCAGACGTTTATCGCTGTACAGAAATATCTAGTTTCACGTTTAGAAGGGTGAGTGAGGGCAAGTAGAGGCGAGTGATAATAACTCCGTAACAACATAATATTTTTTACATGTTAAAGGGACAGACAAAAACTACTGTCAAGTTTTTTTTTTATCGGTGGCCAAATATTGTGTCTTCTAATATGATTGATAAAAAAGGGTAAATAATATTTTACGTAAATACCCCCTACCTAATATACTTATGTCTTATATTTTTATTATTTTAGATGTTATAAACGATCGGTATTTAGTGCTGGAAAATTTTTTATGTGGCATATTTATAGATCAGGAATTTATATTATAATATGTAGCACTTAAGAAAAGTTATTGTTCGGTAGCAGTATATATGACCGTAAAACATTTTAGCTATAAATTATAATTTACGACAGTTGTATATCTAATGAATGTAGTTAATTTTGACGTTATACAGAATATGTCAATCCTAGATTTGATATTTGTGGTGGTCATTCATTTAAGCATCATCATAAATGCAGAGCTGATATTTCCACGGTGTTTTAACCAGCATTAGTCAGGAATAGAATTTTGAAGTTTGTTTGAAAATTAAATATTAGCTACCAATAACTATGTATTTGCTGTTTTAACAATAGTTAGAAATTTCAAAAAATAAATGTATTATTTTAATTATTGTATATTATATTATTGCTTATTCAATATAATATCATAATTCATATTATAATTTCGCACTTAATTGCATGCATTTTGTATGTTGTATTTTATACATTTAAAACTCATGGCAATCTAGTATACGTTATTGAATAATAGCTTATTATGGAAAATTCATTATTCTCTTTTCATAATATCTTATATGTACAATAATAACGTAATAAGTAGGATAACTATCTTAATAATTCATGAGTATGACATTAAATATTAAGCCATAACCCGTGTAACCATCTTGCATGTTCCAGAGCCCACAGAATGTTCCTAATCAAACAGACTAAAAACTAACCTAACCTAACCTTAGGTATCTACAATAACAATTAATTAAGTATAAAAACTGGCGATTATACTTTCCCTAAAACATGTACTTTTTTTTTAATTTACAACCGATAAAAATATTACAATAGAAATTTTTAAATTAAATTAAAACTTAGAGATATAGATATAATAAATTTGAAGTATAATTACTATTAGTAGTGCCATAAATCGATAGCGAGTTTGACTAGTGGTATATTTTTGTATTCTGTGCACACGATGGACATTTCAATTGAAAAAATAATCTAATTAAAACACACTTTTTTTCGTTCTTGATCCCGAATGACAACTGCACTGAGCACTGATGAAGATAGATATAAAATGTAGATGCCAAAAAGTGAAGAGAATTTAAGTTAATAACAAAATGAGTAAAAATAATGTGTTGCTAGGATTTTCGATCATTTCCAATGAAGTATCATTATATTTTTTTCAAGGGACAGATTATCGATTAGATTAACGTATACTTTGTACTGTACATTTCGTATGGAATAACAAGAAACCTATTGTTCATTAATTTACACTAAACATATTCTATAATATTTTATACATTTACCAAGATTAAAGTATGTTTAATATATTATGTGTATTAACATGTTATTATTCACAGTAGTAAATAATAATGTTTGGTTTAAATTTTGAGAAACAGTAATCACTCATGATCCATCATTAACAACTCGGAATAATGTTATAGTATGATGTATAATCAATAATCAATATAATATTACAATAGGGGCTTAATGTAGCTCGATGGTTGGCTTCAGTCACCTATGTGTTCTGAGGTCAAGCATTCGCCAGAGACACTAGTTCCCGAATTGGTGACCAACCAACCGGGTTTTTAGTGACGGATCCTCGCCATACACGTGTTCCTAACCAATCGTAACTCCCCTGAAAAAATATTAATGGCCATAGTTGTTAGAGCTTAAAAAGCTTAAAACTGAACAATTTTTATTCACGGTGCTTATGTTTCATTTATAGCAGCACATAATTTCTAAATTGTTGTAATATTTTACGTCATAAGTATTGAGTATTTAAAAATTAAGTATTGAAACAATATGTTATAGTGCTTATCATAATATAAATTGCACTATATGTAAGAGAAGATACTCGAGTAGAAAAGCTTATTATCATAAAATCTTTAAAATTAATTGCTAATGGCTATAAAATAAACAGTGTTCGTCAAATGGACGAATGATTAGCATCGTTGGATAAAAAAATTAATTATCAACGATAAAATTGTCATAAAAAAATGAATTATAAGTATGGATAACTATTAAATGTTTACCTAATTATAATATTAGTTTGAGCTTAAGTCACCATTTAAAGATAACAAGTTATTAATTTTTTTAATTATTATCATAACATGTTAAATTTTTAAGTATTTTTATCCGTAATAATAGCGATACTTATGGTAGTTTTGACTGTTATTTTTAGCTTAAACGTGACAATTATGTTAGTCAACATATTAAAATGAAATCAAAATGTACTCTTGTTTTTCTCAACTTTTTAGAAAACTGATGAGAACTCTCCCAATACTTCGAATATCCAAATACCATCTGGGTCCAAATACCGATTTATTGAATATCCTATAAAAACTTGTGCATATTTTTCACTATCTAGAAAATTTTTTTCCAAAGAATAAATATAATATTATTGTATTTTCACTTCACTCAGAATTTAAAATAATAATTTTTAAGAATACAAAGAAAGATCGTGATTTTTGAAAAATGTTTACTCGGTAATACAATTCACCATGAGGTTCAAAAATTGTATTAATTCGACTAACCTTATTATCACAAAACAAGACCGATAAATAATATTAACTTTATTGCAATGCTTAGAAAATATAATTTTTCAGTTGCACAGAAAAAAATTGAGTATGAGTTAATCCAATTATAGAGTTTAGTATTCACTGTTCATACATATTTTAGTTATTCGGTTTTTTAATACTTTTCATCCTATACCTAGTTTAAAACTGTTTAACAATGTGAAAATTAATTACTGTATTGACGAACTTTAAAAATATAATCAAATATAATATTATGTGATAAATACAAATCTATATAATATTGTATAATAATGGTTATTTTAATTTTATAAAAACACTAAGTAATACCTGCGTATTTACTTTTAATATTTAAATAACAAAACTGTAATTTTAATTTTGAACATGTTTTTAAGTAACCTTCTAAAAACAATTTCAATATAGTAACGAGTTTATCTGATTGACCTTATCAATTAAAATAATAATAAAAGTAAAATAACATTTCCAAATCTACTATGGCTTATTGTCATATCATTTTTAGTTATGTATGTTATTATGAGTTTTGTATATAAATATTATAATATATTAATTAATGTTTAGTATACTATTACATTTTTATATATATTTCGTATTTTTATTATCCATATATAAAATACGTAAACACATAATTTTCTAACGGTGAAACAAATATTTACAAATTAGATGAGCAAATAAAATAAGCGTGTAGCAGATCTTTGAGGTTATTAGTGTTTATGCATAATATTTTATTAGTTTGTATTTTCTATTATTGTGTACTTAAACGTATAATAACAATACATAAACAATAGTAACAGTATGAAAGTTAATTTCAACAACTGCTGTTATAACAAAATATAATTCTCTATTGTACATTGTTGTGAATAATAATAATATATCAACTTCAAAGATTCCGATCATATTTTCATGTATATAACTCTTACTATGCTAAGTTTGGATTTAAATTTGAAAGCTCCAATAACATTTGATAGGATCATGAAAACTAGTAAATAAATTATTTTAACTATTAATTCTGTTACTCCGTCATGTTTTAAAATGTCACTTTATATTGTATAATTTTGTATAACCAACTAACTATTGTATATTATATATATATATATGTGTATTTATTTATCATTGGCTGTACAGTACGTTTTCAAATTAACCCATTTAACCAACAAATATAAATTTCAACCAACATTTGCTTTTAATAATTACATAATATTCATTAATTTAATTATATCATGTTTGGTTGTATAAAAGTAATTTTACTCTTAGTCTTATCATTATAATTAACACAGATGGTTACTCTTAGTTTCGTGATAATAATTTAGCAAGATATTTTTTTAGATTTTGTCGAGTAGGTTTACCTATATAGTATATATAGCGTATGCAATACATTTTACTGGGTAGTAAAATGAGCAATTTCAAAATTATAATCATATTTACTCCGTAGACGCCCACGGAGATGGCACGGAAATTGCATCGATAAAAGGTTGTTCGATATGGATAGAAAGAGATGACGAGATTTTGTGCGGGCAGGATGAATTCAAAGTGTCGGTATGGGTGTTGGCCACGACTTGGGGTCGGTATGAGGACGTGGTGACTATTGAATTACACGTAGGACTCGATATTCTACCGGCCATCCACATACCACTCATCATCAAAGCTATTACGTTCCCTATAGAATACCCTTTAGCTAAAGACGTTCACAAACCAACCATCAAGTAAGTCAAGACATTTTCACAGAGTAATTTAATTTGTAGTCAACTGGGACAACAAACAAAGGCCTTGTATGAAATATCTCATAAAAATAAGGATATCATTACTCGGTCATATTTCTTTTTTCAAAACTGCTTGGATACCTACAGCATCTAAATCACAAATATTGTTAAATTTTAGTTATTTTTTTTTCTTAACCTATTATAAATTGTTTGACACCAAAAATATATCAATCGTATTCAGTTCTTCCGTGTGGAAACTGTTTAGTAATAACCTATTCTTCACACTGTTCGTTTAGAACAATACCTAGGTATAATACATATTTTATAGCTATTGAAACACTAAAGGCCAATTCACTATAATCGTATGTCGTATAGTGACGGTCATATCGCATTGTACTTGGAAGTTTGGTATATTTTTGTATATGTTTGGTATCATGCAACAACCAAGTTTAACCTACCTATATTATATATATATTTTGAAAAATTAAAATAATTTAAAGTAGATACAATGGGCATGTCTAGTCCACTGAATTATCTTATAAGCAAACCAGTAACGAAACAACCAAAATACATGTTAGGTAAAGTCGGAAGGTCATAAATTTCGAAGTATTTCTATGGATTATCAAAAGTTTTTGAATTTCTCCGAAAACTAACAGAAAATATAAATAATGGCCTTTCTAAAGTACCATCTGTGTTCAATATGAACCTATAAAGGAGTTATACAAAGGGTTACACGAAACTTTTAAATCACTCATATTGAAAAAAAAATGTTTACTGACATGTATTTTTTACTTTAATTATGTATGAGCAAAAATACACAAAATGAAAAAAAAAAAATGTAAAATTATTATGTTCAATCTTCAATGAGTAATGTGTGATATAAGAATTTTTTTTTTGTGTAAATAATAATGAATAGAAACTTAATTTATTTTATGACAGCTATTTCATGCCACCATACAAATATTAAGTAGGTAACGCCTCTGAATTATTTGTTAAGCTTTAGCCTCTACTCAATGGAATCAGAAAATCGATTACAAATCTTGAATAATAGTGATATTGCAGTTAAAATATCTTGGCGCATATTTAATGAAAGTAAAGAAAATAAACCGTTTGGCGTATTAATTGACACATTAACTCCCGACTATCCAGACCATTGGTCTTTCAGAATTACCAATTACGACGGGTTAGAAAATCCTCGATATTTTATAGTAAGTTAATCAACACCACTTTATCATTCTATATAACTATGTAGTTTAGTAATAAGTCTTAAGATATTATGACTTTTTAAATATTATTCACATCACAGCTGTAATAATTTATAAATTGATATGCATTAAAGTTCAATGCGTACATTAAGTCGTTTTCATCATACAAGCTTCATTCGAGTGTGTTTTTACTAAAAAAAATTATAATCTGAATAATGAGCAAAATAAAAAATGTCTAAAAAATGTGTTTTCCTATATTGTTAACCTGTATGTGTTCACTGTTTACTTTAATGATCATTATTTTGACTCAAGTTGGAAAACCAAAACGGTTTTACATATGTATTCATATCAGAGTAGTATTTCTAAGTTCTAACAGTTAATGGAGAAACACAATGATTTATTCCACCTGTATATTTGTTGAAAATCAAATGTATTTTAAAATAAGAATTTTTGTCAATCTATGCTATAATAAATTATACATTACTCACAGGAAATTATTATGATACAGATCAATACTACTTATAATAATAGCACAACCAAAATTACCTAATTACAATAACGTGAAATGTAATGCATGTTTATAAAAATATGAAATGTTAAATAGAAAAGAACTCATATACGATACTCAGTAAAAAAAATAAACAAATATAATTAAGACATTGAAATGCTAATGTAATTAGATTTTTTTTTTAAAACTGTCCACGAGAAATTAATAGAAGACACTATACGGAGCATCCATTAGGTACACGTGATATAAACGCAATATAAAAATACCCAACGTCAAACATCTTACTATAATCATTAAACCTTAATGGCGCACAAGATTAATCTATTTTCAGCAAATTAAGAACACTTGACAATACCACAGTTTTTGGATGAATACGTTAACCTAAATTATTTTTTTTATATAGAGCAACGCTTGGCATTATTCACAATATTTGTGTGTGTATGTGAGTGTGTGTGTGTGTGTGTGTGTGTGTGTGTGTGTGTGTGTGTGTGTGTGTGTGTGTGTATTTAAAGAATTAATATCTTACTTAATGCTGTGATGATGAATATTTTACTATATATATATAAATATTAGTTATACATTTATATATTACTGAACAATACTTTCAAAAATGAACTGTTTGTTTTCAGATCGAGCCTGTTATTTTGAAATTAGAACCAAAGACACTAGGATATGTAACGTTTTCCTTAGATCGAACTAAAGAACTATACATAAACCGAAATGAAGAAAATAATATAGTAAATGGAAAAGCGGTTGGAATAGTGACTGCTCTTGAACCATCTGGGTACATTTTACTTCAATTATAATTTATTATTTATAATTAACTGTGTAAATCGTTAACACAAAATTTTAATAGAATAAATTGAATTTATTGAAAATGTATCACATCAAACTATTTCTACCACTCAAAACAATTCTTAACAAGTATAGAAATTAATCTTTTAGCTATAGAAATATCAACATCCAAAATTTTAAATAAACAATAATATATTATTATCAACATGTATGTATATTATATTTTACTATCAATAAGTTATAATGCATTCCTGAAGTACAGCTTAATAGAAAGATATAACATTAAAATTTAGCTACAAACATCACATTTATCTAAATTAATAATATTAATATTATGTTAAGAGTCTCAAATACTGAAATAAATCACTGGCGATATATTATATATAAACATTTCCAAATACTTAGAAAAGTTTATAAAATTAGATAGCAACTAAAAACCTTATGATATTATTTATGCTATATTTTTAGTTGTACCTACAGTAATATTTCTGTAATAATTTCAGAAAATATTGCATAAGAAAAGATGGATTTAAAATGAAATCCACTGTTGTTAAACTTTACTCGGAAACAAGACATTCGATACAACCCAACTTAGTCATACGAGAGTTGGACAATATTTTCCAAGTAATAAAATATGTTACGTGTCATTAAAAAATACAATAATAATAATTTTAATGGGATAGAAAACCATCTAGGAGGCATTAAGTGTGTTATATTGTTTTTTATTGCACGAACGCATCATTTATTATTTTGCTTCTTCCTTCCAAGGAGACATCTTGATCAAATTCGTCTGTGGATATAGCTATGATAATTTTTAGGTGTCGGCATCGGAAATTTACAACTCTCAATCACAAAATTATACGGTAACTCGGTTGTTTACAATGTGCAATCACTTACGATATCCTGCAAACATTTCATTCGAAATCGGTAATCCGTTCTTCATAAAGAGTTTGAGATCACTGAGATGTGGTATTCGTTCCGGAAAAGATAATATTCGTTTGTATCATAAGGATTTGGTCGAAGTATGCAATTTTATTACATAATATTATATGTCTTACGTTATTATTATTTATAATTTAATATTATAATATTTTACTACATGCATTTGAATAATAATATCAAGATTCAACATTTTTTTTTATTATTATTAGCTTTTAGTAAAAAAACTATAATAGCTCGACAGTTATTACAGATAATACAAGATTCAACATTATTAGAGTTACTTCGCATACTAATATGTTTATTTACTGTTTATAATATGCCTTTAGATTGAACTGCAAGCTATTATAAATATAAAACAAGTTTATCCGCCAAAAATGCCAACAAAAAATTTTCCCAGGAAATACGAGAGAATAGGATACTTAAATGCTGTTTATGAAAACAGTTATTTTAAACCTAAGGTAGATACACAAAAAAAACTAAACCAATACATAAAAAAAGGATTTCCGTATTTATTTTAGTAACATTGATTTCATAGTTAAATTAATAAAACAATAAAATACATTTATTAGTTTTAGTCTAACTCATTTAAGTTAAATAAAAAATAATACGTTTTATTCATAATTGTATTTAGAATGTTAAATATTTAACTTATTTATAAATTATTTAAAGTATCTAGTGCACATTATAATGAATATTAATTACACAAATAATTTAATGATTTATTATACATGCTTTCTAGGGACTCTAAAAAAAGTGTCACTAGTTAAATTTAACCCATATCAAATATTCTTTATGTATTTTGATCTCTGAGGTATACAAATTATTACAAAATATCAGTAGGTTTAACTGTATAGCATTTATGTATTTATTCGATTCTATTGAAAGTTTAGACTTTTTATAGAAACATTTTTGCTAAATCCTGGACCATATAATATTTATAATAAAATGATATTTTTATAATATTCAATCCAAAATTCAATTTAAAGCTACCTATTTCCCAAAACAATCGGTTTGTCTGGGATTGCCATCCTCCATAACTGCATAAAAAGCATCTGGTTAAGGTTGAATTGACCTACATGGTTTCAAAAAACAATGGTTCATCATTTAAAGCATTAGGTATATTAATAAACATGGACACATATTATTTACGAACGTGTAATAAATTATTATTCCTTAGAAACCATTTTTAAAGGTATACCATTTTTAAACAATAACTAAATATATTTTAATATTTAAGGGTCATATTAATATAATAAAAAACTAATTTATGTTTTACATACTATACTATTTATTATATTTGTTTCATAATTCACTAACTCGTTGATAATAATTGACACTTATCTTTAACAACCATACACATTTCTCCTAGGAATCTTAGAACCTTATTTGTATATTCAAAATATGTAAAAATAGATACTATGTACCTATGTATTATATTAATGTAAAAATTGCTACCTATGTATTAATTAAATTTCTGTTATTATCCATGATACATGATATTACAGTCTTTTGTTTAGACGGTTGCTACGTTCAAAATGCATATATACTTCCCCGTACTAAAACTGTCGACGAGCTACATAAATTTTGGTCAAGTGGACGTAACGGAGACTAAAAGCATAAACGTGATGTTATCTTCTTATCCAGGTACACGCATATACACTCACACAGAATCACAAGTGAAATAATAAACGTATAGATTAACTTTTGTCGACCCGGTTTCCACCTTGTTGGGCATCAAATCGTCTGTAAGCTCATCGCTCGACGGTGTTCGCTCATACGATTTTTTGATTTTGTTTATAGGTCCTGAACGCTTTGTTGCGCACTCCATAGACGAAGTGTTTACTGTATCACCACCAGATGGTGTAGCATCGACTAGACCAATCCTACTCACAATTACGTTTAAGCCCAAGTGAGTCCGTTTTAACAGACATCCATGTTTAAAAAAATCGATAAAACCATATTGATTTTAAATATTTAAGCATGCAATTTAAAAATTATAGTACATGCTCAAATATATTCCAACCAAAAATAGTAAACGAAAATTATAAATTAGTTTCGATGATTAAATCCGATTTTGGAAATCAAATCTTTGTCAGAAGTCTATTTATCAGTGTTTAATTATTTCATAGGTACAATAACTAGTTTTTTGCTAACCAGTTTGAACAAACAAAAAACAAAGTTTAATAAATGTAATACTATTCCCCGAGTTAAGTAAAATTACTTTGCTAATTAATAGTATCTCACAATTATTTTAGTGTTTTTAAACCAAAATATTCAATCTTTGAATTTTGTAAGTTCAACAAAATAAACATTTTGTAATCTTATACTTATATTATTTTATTGTATTTGATCATCGTCTTAAGCAAATAACTTTTAGGCATCTTGAAATAATTTTGTATTCGAAGTGACTAATATCCATCATCATTCACATGTTTAAAGGAAAATTTAATGACTTGTAAAAAGATTTAATGCTGATTGAATTTATCGAGGAACTTGTGAACAAAGTTTTTATCATTTTCTAAAAAACGTAATTTGTTTTTGACATTTTAGCGTTAAAAAAGTTGAGGATAAACTTAAAAGCTTTTTCCAGATCACTCTTTTTCATAAGATTAAAAAGAAAAAGCTATTAGTCAGTATAAAAATATACAGTTACAAACTGGTGTTAATGTCTACAAGAATACAATGTAGAAGGTCTACTTTAAAGTTTTAATGAATAGTAATTAAAAATTAAAACTACATTCTACCACATATTATGCATTAGTTGAACCGTAAAATGTTTAAATTCATTAAATTCACGACTGTTGGACATGTAGAAATAAATAATTATTAGTGCAACAGATATTTTTATTTAAATAATATCATATATTTATCTTAATTTGAATCCAAATAAAGTTTAATTCTGAACAATACAATTTAAGAGAGTTGGAGCGGACCACTTTTAATGAGTTAAATATAGGTTATATTATATGTTCAAGTGTGCGTGCGTGAGAAGTATAAATGATCATTAGAGTGTGTGCTATACAGCAGTCCTACATACCATTGCTACAACTCTCGCACGCTTTTGCAAAAGTTACCATTGGTGGGCTCATTGTTATTTGTTGTAGTACAAAAATGATCGAATGTGGAAAAGAATTCGGTTATTGGTATAAAAGCAAATAAGTATGAAAAACATAACACAGGTCACGACCAACGTCAATAAAATGTGTTCCCCACGACTGCTTCAGATACAACTCAATACGATTCGAACTTCGTTCTCGCTCTATTATGATAGGATTTTGCATAATACTATTGTTTCAATCATTATGATAGGATATATTTTACCATCGAAACTGTAAGTCAGGGATCAATAATTCAGTTAACTTTAATATTTCATGATTTTAAACTATAAATTAGTCACGGATAGATTTGTGAAGAAATGGCAAAACATTTGTCATTATTTTAATTGTTTTAGTAAGTAAATAATATCTAAGAATAGACTAAAAGTGTGATCAAAATATTTTAATATTTATGATATTCCAAGTCTTTTAAATTGTTAAGTTGAAAAAAATCAAAACATAGCATTTAACAGCTACAAAATATGTTTATGTGCCTATCTTTCTTTTGGAATCCTTTAAATATACTCCTTTAAAAATTTATGATATTTATGAAATATCAAACTGTGTTAAGGATTCCCTGCTAATTGGTTTTCGTACATAAATATATTTTACTACAAAGCTCTGGTATGTGAAGAATTGATTCACTAAAAAAAGTTCAAAAAGACTCACCATACATTAATTGCAATTGATTACAAAGTTGTTAGCAGGGTTTTCTTTAGAATCAAACAATATATATTCATAGAACGTGTTGTTAACCAGTATAAGATACATATGAGAACTAATCATATTAAATAGATATAAAAAGTTCAATTTTTGTAAACAATAGTGTTATGTACAGATAAGATCTAATGTGTTATATGAACAACTGTTCTAACCGTTATAAAATTTATTATTTATTATTTTTACTAAAATAATTAATGTTTTATATTTAAGAGCTGATGAACAATACTTGAAAAAGATTGAAATTTTGACAACAATACCCAAGGATGTCATTTTTCTCGAAGTATCTGGATTGGGGATCAAATAATTTCAGTGTATTACTAGCTTATACAGTATAATAAAACATTTTCTACTTACTATTTACAATTTCGTATTTGACCTAAAAAGTTTTAAATGGATATATCTCTAAAGTTTTACTGACATCAAATATAGGGTAATGCAGTTTACAGAAGTTTTTTTTTTCAAATTTTAAGTGCTCTTGAAAAAAAAAACATAATCAAATCATACTTCACGCGAATCTTTTAAAATTTGTTAAATATTTTCTTAATAAATGTTTTAAAATAAAAAAAAGAAACTTAATTTACCAAAATTATCAACGCTTTCTATAAAATAACTAGGTTTTTTCGGAAACTCTTTCATATTTTTAATTCGAATTATTCCTAGTAAATTATTTTTTGCGTAACTTTTTACCTTCCAAATCATACATTAAATAGCTCTTATAGAATACTCAATATGTAATATTATGATTTGTTGTAATTATTATTATTACTAAGATACACATTTGTATGGACCAACCAATTTATTGTTACGCTCAGAAACTAAATCTTACATTTTACTAACATAATTCATTTTAATGTATTTTATTTAGAAATGAATACAATCTGAATTTCTGTGTGCACACATATTATACAATAAGAGTTATTTATTACAAAGGTTTATTATTTTTTTATTATGGCTTGCTTAAGAACCTTACTCCAGTGATGGTATTTTGGAATAGATAAAATATGTAGTATTTTGTATTCTATTAAAAATATGATTATTCTACACCTCGTTTTTGGCATAATTGTATTAAAATAATATGCAAATGATAATAAAAACATCACTTGATGAGTTTTAATCATGAAACCATATTATTGGTAACTAATTTTAAATTGTTCTAAATTAATGATATTCAAACAATCTTAACGGAATACTAATTCCAAAGAAAACTCAATCACAATCTACTTTCTAAAAATTTAAAAAGTTGTATTGTCGCAATGTACTTACCAACCGAAGAGTAGATATCAAAGTAAAAACCACCTAAAACATAATTCAAAATTATTAATATTATTATTCAGATTATAAATAAAATTCAACACTGTTGAAATACAAAAATATATTTTTATAAAGTGTTGATAATATTTTATTTTAATGAAATTTGATGAATTCATAAAATTTTCACAACAAATAGAGTATAATAATTAAAAATAATTCGACATGCATGATATAGTCTTATAATAAAGTCATCAAAAATGTCTTTCACTTCATTTTTTACCAGTAATAAAACATACATTTTATACAATTTTACTAAATGCAAGTAACATATATGATATGTTTTTCGATAGCTTTATTATAAATGTATATATTATGCATTATGCATATTTATTGTTTAAAGTATACATTAAGTTCATTAATTATATAAATTATCTACTTGAAACCCTATTTAGTAATTTTAACGGTTTCACAAAATACTTTTCTGCCAACTATTACTAACCATTGCCAAAAAAATTTTGATTGTATAGTTTTTCAGATGTCCGTAAGTTAAAAATGGTATAAAGATAATTCATGTTATTGGCACTTACTCAATACTCGTAATAACAAATGTGGATAAGTATTAACTGTTATGCCATGGGTAGATTAATAAGTTAAAGTTATCATGAATAAGTATTGGTCAGATAATTGCACAATTCAGTGAATATCAGAATGATAATCAAGCATGATGCTTTAGACGTTTTCACACTCACTTACTGCCATTTATTCGATAACAAAACATTTTTCAAATGAAGTGACAGGTGGGTAAGATGATTACCATAAAATTGACTAATTTTTAAAACTCCGTTCATTAGCTATCATTAAACGCCATTAATTCAACTTCGATAATTAAGTTCACAGTTTCTTAATTAATTAAATATGCCTACTCACTTTAAAAAAATCCTTTACTAAGATATGACCATAATACATAATTTAACCAACTTGTTGAAATAATGTTTTTTTTAATTATTACTGTATTTGTATTATTTTGTAATATTCTTAATATTTGCGTTTGCTGTTTAATATAATTGTAGGTATCAATTTCTTGCTTCTTATAGTTAAACTAAATTTATAAAAAAATTGAGTATTTGCTAATGCACTACATACAAATCTAAGATCTAAAAAATGAAAATGTTTTAATTTATTAAATTTTACTTAGTATTTAAATAGTTAAGCAAGGTTAAACATAGTAAAAAATTGCGTATGCATATAAGCTCGGTGAGACACCATCATTTCTTTTCCTGTATCTATAGATTATTTTATGAGAATCTGTTTCTTTATACCTCAATTTTTACGACTAAGAAAGTACGACCCACAAGATATGTATCTTTAAATTTATCGATACCTACATTTAATATGAATAAATAATAGCGAATACACAAAATAACTAATTGTATGTAAATAAATAATTCACAGATAATGTATTTTGAGTATAATAACAAAAGTACACGAAATATGAAAACTATACATTTATACTAATTTCTATTAACTGACATAAATACGTTTTGATGATTTAAAAGGTAATTCGTTTTAAAATTATAGTACATGATTGCAAATTGATAATACATAAATACCATTATATTCATATTTTTAAATACTAAATTATTCACAAATAAATATAGGTACATATATTATAATGGTTAGGTACCAATATTCACAACACATTGGTAAATTCTATTTGAACACAAGTTTATTAAATAATTATATTCTAACCAATAATATGCATCATGTATATTATACTGTATTTTATTACCATAATACTATTTAGTACTGAAGTTTAAATTAAAAACAATTATTTCTTATCGAGAAATATTTAAGTGTAATAATACACATATTCAGAGGTAAAATAATATTAAAAACGTACAGCAAATAAACGTGTGTTTTTGAATACTAATAAACTCGGATGTATGCAAAGCAACTTGTTCAAAAAAACAAAAACTTCCATAAAAGTATTCCATCCCCGAGATCGTCAATATCTTGTGTAATATTTGCAATATCTGTTTACTGATTCGAATTCTGCCTACGTGTATTGTCAGGGGTAGGTATGCCATAAGACGCAACGTTCTGGGTCATGAATCCCGCATTGTAAATCATCATACAAATATTCACCACTATCGTTCATCTACAGAAATAATTTTTCTGCTTTAGTCCGTGATTTGTAGTCTTATTATGCATTACAAGAACTGAATATGATTATAATATCATGTTTAAAATAAACTCAATTACACGATGAATTGGCAGTTTTGAAATGTACACAATGAATGTATTGTAGAATAATCCTGTAAAGGCTTCCTACACACAAGGTTAAGAAAACAATTGATACTAAATATCATATATATATATATTCATATTTAATACATTCAGTTTATCAATGTGATTTTAGCATATGTACACCAAAAAAACATTTGTTTTTTATTTAAGAGAATTTATTTAAATATTTAACAATATAATATTGTATCTTCCTACAAACAAAATGGTTTATTTGAACCTTTTTTATTTCAGCCTTTTGACAATAGTAAACTTTATAGCATCGCCGAATTCGGTATTATTTTATTTTGAACTACTCTACTTAAATGTTTCTGTATAAGATGTGTACACGTTCCATACAATAAAGGTCTACCAGGATCAGATAAAACAAACTAAACTTTTTACTTAAGAAATCAATTAGTGTAATTTTTTGTAAAAAAAAGAATTAAATGTAATATTTAACTAACTTATAATTTTCAATAGCAAAAAAAAAAATAAACAAATTAATTTTAGCACCGACCAATGCCCAATAACATAAAAATAGAATACAAACCCATTTTATAGTATTTATTTTAGTGAGATGGTTTTATTGACTTTTCAAGTAGATTTTGTGTTCACATAATATTATAATTTATAATATACATAGGTATAGCCTAGAATTTAATTCTGTAATAATTAATAGAACATTTAATTGGTAAAGAAATAAACTTTTGATTCATTTTTCAATAATAATTTTGTATTAAAAACTAACGTTTAAATTAGTCATTGTTTCAACCACTTTCAAATATAATAGGTCCTGCATTAATATGTGACATATACATTTATACGATGTTGTCACATCTATATAATATAACTTATAAGTACCTAACTTGACACTTAAATGTCTAATAATTATTATTTTAACTATACTTCATATAATTCTACCAAAATGTATTATTAACACAAAGTTTTATGGGAAGTAATGAAATAATGTTTAACTACATGTCCGCATAATATTAAATAAATGTATGACATTGCATAATTTTATTTTCTCTACGGACACATATTGCGTTAATCTCTGTAACTCTCACTTACACTGTACTTAAATAACCAATTTTGATGTTTTCTTAAATTCAGAATAATACACAAATATTTTATTTTTATTTTAATAAAGTGCAAGTACAACATCAATAAAATTAAGTTAAGTGTTTAATTATAAATAATGAATTTAAATTCAACATTAAATAACAAATTAGTAATCTATTTGTATTTTTTAAGAAAATAATTATTGAAATTGTATCTAGTACTAATAAGTAGTACCTACTCTATGAATGAATTATATTATATATTAATAAAGTGTAAGAGAATTGAAGCTCCTAAAAGCAACAAAACGTTTTAAACAAAATTTTAATAAACTAGAGTTTAGAACAAATATATTATTATTGTTTGAGAATGTTCATACTATTAGTTATATAATTGATGAACTATTATTTAACATCCACCAAACTATTCAAAAATAAATAAAAATAAAATGTCATTACTATTTCATTGGGCATAGTTGAAATACCGAAAACAAAATAAAAGAATAATAACGTAGATATAAAAAAAAATAATTGAAGCTTAAAATTTTTTAAATGGTGTTAGACAAAAAATTAATTTCAACTTTCTCGTTTTAAGTAAGTTTATTTTAAAATCATCCATGGCAAGGGACTGATGCCCATTAATAAATATTTTACACCTCAGCTTTAATAAAAGATACATTTTAAGTGTCCCTACATTATGTTAAAGTATAAAATTGACACATTTTATACTTTATAACATATTAATACGTCTTAATAACACTGGCAATACAATAGTTATAAAGACCATCGGAAATTAAATAACGTGCTAAAAAAATTATTACGATATTGATCCGTATACTAAATATGACTCAGTTAAATCAACTCTAATGCATTACCTACATTCTTACAAAATATATAGTTTAGTTTATATTATATTGTTATACTTTATTATATTTTCTAACATATAATATTGTGTAAAGTTATTTTCGTACACCTAATAATTAGGACAAATATATTTAGACATTTAGTAGCTTGTACCAATCATCAGCATTTGTATAGCTATAAAGCCTTTAATAATAATAAAAAACACAAAAAACCTGAAGATTGAGTTCCAGCAAAATGTATTCCCAAGCTCTCAAATGTTTATTTAGTATGGAGTTAAGAAAAATATGTACAACAAATTTATGAATTTAATGAACATTGCTAAAAAAAAAAAAGATTTTTAAAATAATAGATTTTTTGATTTTAATAAACTATAACGTACGGATTTCGATAGTTGACATGCAAATTTATGTTAATATCCTACTCAAAATAAATTCGAAATTCGTGGAAAGAAATAATTTTGCTAGTCAAATACTAAGAAAAATAAGAACACTTATAATGATGGGAGGTCAAAAAATAATAAAATTCTAAGAAATCACAAGTCAGCCATAAATATATTATATTCAACAATATAAAATATAATTTTACTAAATATTTGTATGAAATTCCAACTTTGTCTATTTTTTAAGAAGAAGAAAGAAACTTCCGATTATACCACTTACATTATACTCTTCTAAAATATTAGGTTTTTTTGCTAAATTTAAAATACATAGTTCACTGATGAATTAACTGCATATTATGTTTTAAAAAATGTGTACTACATTAAAAGTAATAAATGTAATAATTTACTTAACTACATTTGTACGTGTTCAACATTGTACTAAGAGAAATATGGTAGTC